CGCGTTCCCGCCTCTGGATGTGTTTCCGACGCAGGCGGCTTGACATATTAGAGCTTCATCGTCTACACTCCGACCGAAAGAATCATGACTTGAGGCGATTCTAAGGACCTCTCTAGCTACCGAGGTGTCCTCCATCGCTCTTGGGTCCACATGGTTCTTCGTGGTCAGAACTTGGATCTTGGGCCCTTCCGAATGGGCGAAGAAACACTCTCACTCTGTGAAGCACTGAAAAGCACGTAAAGTGGCTGGGCTCCACCAAGCCCCCCAAGACCAGCATTCTTCCTCCCAACTTGTTCCCAGATTGCTTCACTTCCACATTCTTGGCCTTTTGAGAAGCTCAACGGCCTTAAGCTTTGCCTTTAGAATTGCTTCACGTCCACGACTTCTCCCCCTCCGAACCCGCCGAACCCCCGTGAGCTGCGCCGCACCGCTCCGCCTCGGTGAGGAGCGCCGACAGGTTGGGCGCCGCCAGGCAGTCGCCGGTGACCACCGTGAGCTGCGCCGCCAAGAACCACCACCTCAGCGCGCTTGGACGGACGGACGCGGACGCGGACGCTCCGTCGGCGGAGTCGGTGGGGTGGACTTTCGGTCGGCCAAAGGGACAAATGAAAATGGGTGCTCCGGGTCGACAGGTGTGTTCTTTTGGTGGGGGGCCATTGGTTTGATGAAAAGGACGGCGCGTTGCGAGCAAGGGACGGGTTGCATTCTGTGTTTTTTTTCCGATTGGGCTCTTTGGAAAGAAAGAAGTGGGAAAAGACAAGAGGTCTGGTTTCAAGAGCTTTGCACCAAAACTCCAACAGTGATTCCCCCCGAAATGCAGCTGGATGGACTCAGGAAACGTTGAAGGGGTCTTCTCGGCTGGTAGACTGGGCTGGCAGACCGGACTGGAGACTTCCCAGACGGAAGTGGCGACTGAAAATTTGAAAGTGTTTTTTCAAGGGAAAGGGTTTGAAGCATTGTCAAAACATGTGTTGTCCTCCAAAAGACATGGACACCTCAGCGAGAAACCAATACATCAGACCTTCTGCAACATCATATTTGATGTTGGAGAAGGTGGACAGCTTCAGCTATCCTTTCATCAGCAACAATCAAGTCCTTGGCCCAACCAAAAACATCTGCGTCCTGTTAGACGAGACGAATCGAGACGATGTCCCCGCTGAGCCACTTGGTCGGGGCCAGTGCCAGGCCTGTGTACCCAAAGATTCGGAAGCAAATGCCTCAGACGACGCTGGATCGACGAAGTCCGACGAAGCCGACCCAAGCAACGAGCCTGGCACCCTCTACAGGAACGGCAACTACCCAAGCCGGTGGCCTTGGTGGCCTGGGACGGGAGTTTTCCATGCAGAAGTCGCATGCCTGGAGCTATGTTCAACCTAGAGGGAAGAACTAAAATCCTCAGTCCTTGAGTTTTCTATTGTTGTTTAAAGCCCGCTCCCCCCTTCCCTACTTATATAATGAAGAGGCACGCTTGCAAAATTCAGGGAGAGGTAGCTAGTACCATACTTAAGCTACTGTTGTGGACGCAGGTTCCTAGATGTTTACGGAAACTTAACTATATCCTTCTTCGGCCACATTCCCAAAATGAGATGCATCTTGGATCCAAATCAGAATCATGCTCGATGAGTCCCGGATTGGATGCTGAATTCACCGGAAAACAAAAACAAGGGTCAATCCTTTTCTTCAACTGAAGTTGTCCGCCTGCTCTAAAATAACAGAGGATGCTGTGCGATGCTCAAAAAAGAGCAACCACAGACCAAAAAAGCAAACTGTTCATGCACTGACCACTGACTGCATACAGAAAAATGTACCTGTCCCGTCCACCCGAATTATCCCACCCAAAGCGCCATTGCCCAGCGGCCTAACAGCATGGTCCACTGTTGCTTGAGCCGGCGCCTCGGGAAAAGTGTTCCCAATCGTTAAGAATATGGGGAAACACATTGAAAGTCACCCCAAAGTGGTGGCACGCCCGATCAACCAGGCGGGCAGTAGTACGTAGAACAACACAAAAAAATGGAAAGAAAAAAGCCTCTCCCCTGCCCATCCTGCCCTGAATCCTCCAAGAATCCAGGTTTGAACAAAGTGAATCGCTGGCGGTCTAACAAAACGACAGTCGTATTCTGATGGCTTGGATCGCTGACAGCTCGCACAGGTGCAAGGTTCCCCGATGTGTTTGAAATCAAGTGTGTGGGTGTTGTTCACCCTCATATAGATGTGGTGAAAAAAACAATTATCATTTAAAATGTGATATATCTTTTTGACGCGAATACAGTACTTGTCATTGTTTGATGTTAGTTTTGAAGGGTTCCATGCCAGCGGGAACCAAACCTCCAGCACCAAAACTATGTGGACAAAATGAGGGCGGTCGACATTCGACATGCCGAGCTCGGCATTCTGAGGAATCAGTTCAAACCTCTTCTGCACGCTCAGAACACTGCCATGGACTCTGGACGCTCAGGAATTGAAAAGGAACAACCTCATTTCTGTTTGCAAAACCACAAGGCTTTTGTTACATGTCAAAAAAAACCTTCTGGATCAACCGCTGCATGCGACATCAACAGGCCATCCAATTGCGTCGCGCGCGTCGCGTCGATGCGTCACCGCGTCCCCCGCAACAGCGCCAGGACCCGCCCAGCGGCATGAGCGAAGGGAAGACGAAGTTGGTGATCACGATGACAACCTTCGACGTCGCTCGCGCGGAGCTCCGTCGCTCCGAGGTCACAAGACCCCAAACACCGCGGCGAGGTCGGCGTGTCGTGAAAACGACGGGACCCAGTCTCCGGGTGACGAAAGCCAACACTCTGAGTGTGACTGGACATGGAATTGGGCTGTGATCAACGCTTTTTATCTGCCAAAACAGGTCCCTGGTACAAGTGATGAATGTGCCTGAATTCTTCCAGAAACTGGAGTTCATCAACTTCGAAAAGTTGATGCTCCGTGGGTCTATCCGATATCCCATCCTATCTAGTGCTTTGGGAACTCCTCAGTAGCTTGTTCTCACGTTCCAGCTGCTTCTTGTAACGCACTATTCTATTCTGTGGAGGAAAAAAAGAACACAACTTGAATGTGGGAAGGGGACGGGATCGGATCCAGCCAGAGACCCCATCCTCACTCGGTCGGATCGAAAAAAGAACGAGTGGTTCTTTCCGGCAAGACGGAGGCGCCGCAGGCCCAAAGCACCAAAGGGTCCATTGGATCTAGCCATTCAATTCTATTCAGAGACCAATTGCTGAGGCAAGTCACACCGCCAGAGATGAACATGCTCCAGGCAAAGAATCGAGTACCTCATCCACATGGCCGGGATGAACATGCTTCATTGGTCCGCACCATGGCGGGCGGTGGGCCGCTTACTTCAAGGGAAGGGCCCTATTTTCCCTGGGAAACTAGCACCCTAACTCCACGTCAACGAGTCAACCACGTGCGGCACTGCACCCTCTTGGCCCGCCAGCGTCCTGTCACCACGGGTGGCCTGCTTGGCCCGATGTGTCCAAGACGAAAACGAACTCGTCCTACGAACTTCCTCCTACCTTGCCTTTTTCATGCCCAGCAGACTCAACAGGTGCAAGCTCCAGGACTCCATGCACCTCTGGGGACTCCGTGCACCTCTAGGGACCTGGTGCACCCCTGGATCTTGGACACAGCATTCCGAGCTCCAGGAAGCTTTGGACTTTGGAAACCCTGGCGCCCTGGTGGGTCCAATGCCTCACCGAGACCACGGACGGAAGCGACGGCTCCTTCGGTGGCACCCGGTGGCACCCGGTGGCACCCGACGGGGTCGAAGACAGGACACTCTCGACAGCAGCGGCCTTGTTGCCTGCACACGCCAAAGCGACGAAAACGGTTTGGACACTTCCTGCTATAAAGCACGCGTGATTGATCGTTTTGGGTCGGCAAGCGATGAATGATGGGTGAATTCATGCGTGTATTCGCACAAAACGACGTTTCATACCTAATGTGATGCGATGCAAAGAGCTGCTCTTGCAAAGTCTTGCAAAAAATGTATCTGCGGTCAAAGGCTTTAAAGCTAAAGAACGTGACAGCACTTCTTGCCTTTGAAGTAGGAGTCCATGACATACCTCACTTCAACAAGGATTCGGAAAGCATGTGCAACATTCAACCCATGACTGGTGAGGCGGGACATCCGCTAGACCATTCCATGAACCTGTTCCATGATGTTCGAGATGGAGAAACCATTTCAGGCAGCTTTGTGGGTACTGCATTGGGTATATCCCATTCCCAGGGCCCAGTGTATGATATAGGAATATATAATGATATATAATGATGATCGTGGTTAGGTTGCAGGCCGACATAAAGAAACATGGCATGTCTCTCTTCTTGGAAACCCTAAATAACCACCAGAGCCAGAAAGAATTGGTTGCTGGCCTCTTGATTCTCAGGAAAAAAAGGCCCCATGTGGAGCCATCCCAAAATTCATCAAAATTCTATCATCTGGACAAACCTCGGGAGAAGCAAACGTTGACAGCCAACCCATTCAGCAGGGAGCCCATCTACCTACCCCAAACAAATTGGGCATGTTACGTCTAGCTACCCTTTGACCAGGAGTCCAAATGAGGTAAGAACACCCTGATCACTGCTCAAAGTATGACAGTTCACTGACCAGAGCATTCAGCCACGGTCTGTTTGCCAACACGAAATCGGTGCTGTTTAGGCTCAGCGAGGTCTCCATCAGATGCAAGAAAGGATGGATTGTTAATATTATCAATGTCTACTGTTTACCTGAAATCCAACATGTACTGTTCCAGTATCACAGAAAGGGTGGTAGAGGATGTCTGACAATGTATTTTCCTTCCAAGAAACCACCCTTTCCGTTGTGGTTCTTATACTGTTGTCTATTCGAGTCCCACTCTGAGCAAAGTGAAACAAACTAAGAACATCAATCAGCAATGATCAGCACCTTCTCCCGAGCGACCTTTGATCGTCGGAACGAAGCTGCTCTCTTAAAAAAACGATTCATCTGCACCCACTCCCTCAGTCGGAACAACTCATCCGAGTGGTCCCACCAGACTGAAAGGTGCATCGAGGTCAACTGCTGAAGAGGTGGAGAAACTGGGAATGCTCATGTTGAGCCTGTTCCCACGGTAGAAATCGCGCGTAATCTCGCGCAAGACATCGGCATAGCTTGGGTTTGGAGTGCGCATGCCACCAATCGCCTTGGCCAGCATGTTCGTGAGAAAGAAGGCTCCTCGCATTGAGGGCCCGCTTTGGTCACACCATGTCTGTTGGGTTTGCCGGTCTTTGCAACCTGCCAAGCAAAGGACACTGGCCGCACACTGCTTGCCTTTCAATTCTTTGCAAATCAAAGGGCGCTTGTCGAAGTTGAAACCAGGGGGTGGTGGCTCCTGTCGTCGTGCGCGTGCCATCTCCTCATCCTCCACATGCACCTCGTAGGAGTGCTTTAGATCTGCCATGGTCTGGCTGTGACAAGCATCAAAAATGGTGGTGAGGCGCACCCCCTCAGGCAGATCTTTCAACATCTGCTCAAAAATCTCATCATCGCTGATCGGACGGCCCAGAAGGTCATCTGCTTCTTCTCTCTCCAAGGAGCCCTCGAGTGCAGCTGCAAACTTGGGATGTTGCCCTTGGATGACAGGACAGATGTGCTCGTCCTGGCCATCCTCTTCGTCACCGTCAGTGTCTCTGGACTGCCCACCATGACCTGCAAAGAAGAAGAGCAAGTTGTCTCCAGGCTTCGCATCTTGCACCAGCCATTTCATAGAGTTCAGGATGTTCTTCCGCGTGGGTGCCTCATGTGTCACAGCCCAACCACCTGGCTTGGTGGCATCAGTCAAGATCTTCAGCTCTGGAGTCCTGACCTTGGCGTGCTGCAACGCAACCTGGATGTCTTCCAAGGCACCAACTGATCCGAGGAGAACATCAAGCCGACCCAGCAAAGGCATGTTGTGCTTACTGCTTTGGTATGTTGGCGCAACCAGAACGGCCTTCACAACTGGTGCATCCTCTGGCACTGGAGGTACAGGGGGGATCGGCTGCTGGTTCGGGAAGGGCTCCATCGACTCCATGCCTCCCATGGGCCCCATGCCTCCCATGGGCCCCATGCCTCCCATGGGCCCCATGCCTCTCATGGGCCCCATCCTGCCTCCCATGGGCCCCATGGGCATCCCAAAGTCCGGCCCACCGAGGCTGTCCAGGTCGGCCAACTCAGCAGCAAGCATTGCATCGAGCTCTTCGACCTTCAAGCTCATGAGAGCTGGATCCATCCTGAGGATCGCGCCCATATCGAAGGTGGTGTCCCCCACGGAGTGGAACATGCCCATGGAGAGTACCTCCTGTTGGATCGCCAGCTCTTCCTGCCGTCGAAGAGCTTCTTCATCCGCGGTTAACATGTCGGAGTAGGTGGTGTAGAGCTCGGAACGCAGCAGGACAACACGGAGCGACCTACTCACTTTTCAAGTTGAGACAACTGCTGGAGCGGCAGGTTTAGGGCCAGGGTTTATATGGGCTATTGAAAGTAGACAAATTAGTCAACAATGGTGTGTTCATCCACCTTCTTGTGGTGCTCATGACTCACAGACGAACTATCATGTCCTGCCTGTCATGCCTGGCATGCCTGTCATTCCCCACCGGGCTGCGCACTCAGCACATCAAGGGACTCTCTTTTTCAGTACGTCGATGTATTGAGAAGGGCTCTAAGCATCCTCGACAGACACACCAGGCCTAGAACGCCACCAGGCCTAGAGTAGATGTATGAATGACGTCACTATGAGAGTCATGTAGAGTAGATCATCCATGTTTGGGGCCTCGGGGCCCCATTGGCCTTTGCCAAAGTTGGAGTTGTGGGTGTCTCTTGGGCTCTTGAACTCCCATCCACGACTAGATGCACCACTGTTACTACGCCACGCTACGCCCACATGCTGCATCCTATAAACTGCAGTAACCCCGGAACTGGAACACAGGTCGCTTCCTCGTCTTTCACCCAAATCCATCTAAATCCCACACACCCACTAGCAAGGAACCACCAATTCATACGTCTATCGGATCTATCACACTGGAACCATCTGGGACCTCCTGAACGTTTCGCAGGTCGGGCGCCCAGTGACAGCGCTCCACAGGACTCCGCCGCGGCGATCCCGGCGTTGCCTCGAAGGCAGGGAGCTGAGGAAGCCGAGCCCCCAAAAAGGGGGAATGAGGCCGGAGGAATGCGAATGTGAAGGTGGCCTGAATACAGAATCATACATAAGACATACTGTTGAAATCTTTAGAAGTATGATACTTATATCATCTTATATCAATCTTTGGACGGGTGTGCACCCTTTGACTTCTATTGCTGCACAAACTTGTTCTCCCCGTCATGCGCCTTAGAGTCCAACCAGAAAGGTTTGGCAGTGATACCTTGGACCCCTCCTGGCAATTCAACTCATATGCCGCAGACCTTAGCTTTGGTGACAGAAGACTCAACAAATGTCACAAGACTTGAGCTATTGTTTCAGGTGAAACTTCACGCAATGAAACCAACCACCCTTAGCTGTTTTGATCACACCTTTATATACCATCCACATCAGAAAAACCGCGCAGCTGAAAAAATCGCGAGCAGCAAGTCGTCCCAGATCGCAGCCCTCAATCTATGTCACTTAGACCTGGTCGAAAATCGAAGAAACGCCCACCGCGGTTTCCTCGGCCACACTCGACCGCCCACCGCGCACGCGGAAGTACCTCGAGCGGTCCGGACCCCACCTCGCCTAAGAAGGCGCCGATGAAGAGCGGCCAGGCCAAGCGCGGCAGCGAGTCGAACCTAGCTGCGGAGGTTGGGGCGCCCAAGCTCCCCAATTCCAAGCGTTGCATTTATAAGGCCAAATGACTTAGGCGCGGACGTGAAAAAAGAAGTGACATACTGACATACAACTTTCCCAAGGGAAAGGTCTGTTGGTCATTTCACCTGCAGTAGAATGGATCTCACTCAACAACCCTTGTCTTACTAAAATCTGTTTACACCACACAACCAGGTCGTTTCCATGTGACCTCAATGGTCGAATGGAAGGCGCCAGGAAGACCGAATTCGGATCGATTCGAACCCCTCGAACCACCATATACATGAGATCCCTCCATGGGACGGTCGTGAAACAAACCACGACCAATCAAACAGCAGTCGAACTGATTGGTCAATAATTGGCAGGAAACCATCTAAAAACATATCAAAAGGTGTCCTACGGTATAGGATCTCATTATAGGACTTGACATAAGGACTTCGACATGGATTTGGGGAGGCTGTGTTCGTTCGTTCTTGGACCCCTCCATCCGCCGAACCACCGAAACACCGAAAAACGACACTCCATCCTCCATCCTCGAATTGATGGGGTGATTTTCTGGGTCTCATGATGTCTCATGATGTCTTGCTTGGTGTCAACTCACTTGACCGCGTCAACTCGCCCGCCCCGGGACCGGGGACCTGGTCGGTTGGTCGGTTTGTTTACAGGACCAGGTCCGGGTCCGTGGAGCCCAGTCGCGCAAAGCCCATGTCAATCTCAGGTTGCCTTCTCAGCAACACGTTCCTTGGTACGCCCACGGGGCCAAGGAATAGGGTGGGAGGAGCTGGCTGAAGAAGCTGAAGAGCGAGACAGCTTGAAAGTGAGTGAGATCATGTGATGCCGATAAAGGACAGGAAGATCAAAATCAAGGGCCTGAGTTGTTGAGGACCCATCATCGCTGAAATACCGGCTCATGACAAGAAAAAGAAGCAACAAAGCGACTCCCAGGTCCCAGATCGGGTTCCGGAGTCACTCCATCCTCTAAGAAACCCCCCCCAGGGTCCCGGAGGTCACATGGTCCACCTCTTTTCGACTTCCAGCTTCGGCGACTCGGCCATGAAGCTGAACACGAAGGTCCAGTTCAGCATACCTCACCGCGTTCGTGCTACCACGCGCCCCACGGACGCGACCCGAGTACCGAGTCGAAGAGCATAAGCGCACGCCGACCGCGACCCGACGCGAGTAGCGACCCGATGGACCGGTGGGGTCACCGCGTTGCAAGCGGTGGGAGCGGTGTGCGATTCGCTTGAGGGGCCGAAAAGGCGAAGGTAGGGGCGAGAGGTCCGGTTTCGTGCCGCAACGATCCCCCAACCAACAGGGCGAATTGACCAGGTGGTGAAATGGTGTCAAAGGGGTTCGAAGATGGACTTCAATGCGGCTTGCGACGCCAATTCTTCCGTCAAGCTCATCTTGTCCCTTTGGGCATGTGTATGGACCATGTTCCCACAAGTGTGGAGGCTTGAGAACAAATAGACTCTGCGGAGAAATCCGGTGGGTGTGTAGTAGACTAGGGAAAACCCGCAGCCAAGACCCTGGAATAGAGAAAGAGTAAAAAAAACCTTCCCTCCAACAATCATGGTTTCCTGAAACCCCTCAGTAGAGGGAAGTTGCCTTGGAGGCCCATTCCGCACGTTCATGATTGAAAAAGTTCGAGGCTTCGAAACATGGAAAACATCCAGAAAAACACCCATCTTCCCCACGTCGACCACGACGAAATCAGGGGAAAATCACCCCAAGGCGACGATGACTACGACCACCACGACGAAAAAAAACAACGACGACGACGACCAACAGAAGAAAGAGAAAGGAACAAAGCAAAAACGACGACAAAACCACGCCAAGCAAAGCCCGCTTGTTGAGACTCACCCACCCACACCTTTGATAAAATTCCATCCCGAAGGAGCTCAAGGCAGCACAAATCCGCACGGCCGCGGCAAAGCCCTGTTGGCTCAAGGCCTGGAACAGCCATCCGTGATGCCGGTTCTCTACCAGTTGGAAAGAGGTGTCTGCTGGAAGACTGTATACTGATACTGTAGGGTCAGCCAGCCATAAAGACCCCAAAATAGCAGGGTCCTCGGGACAATTTAACCAATTCAGCTTGTGATGCTTTGCCAGGTTGAAGGTCGCTCAACTTCCCAGAACGACTTTGAGGGCCCACCTGCGCACCTGCGTCTCTCTCGCTGGATTTGGTCAGAAGTCCTAGACCCCCACAACTCATTATATAGGCTAACCAACCCGTGGTTACTCATTCAGTCTCATCTAGACCTGGTAGTTCAGGATACTGTTACAAATGATTCTGGCTGATCCCACCTGGATCGTGCCCGGACGATCCACCACACGTCATGACGATCCACCGCTCGCCGCTGAAGAGAACGAATGAACCGACAGAATCCACGGATGAACCCGCAGACCCCAGTGATCCACCGGACCCCAGTGATCCACCGGAACCTTCCTGGCGGACCGCTGCTAGCTCAGCCCATCTCAACCGAGCGGACCACCCAAAGTCCCGGACGCCACAAGCTTTGGATCTCTGCGCACCCTCTGCGAATGGAATTCCAAGGTGTTTCAGAGTGTTTCATGGCAGGCTCAACGTAGTTTCAGGGTGTTTTCAGGGTGTTTCGGGTGTTTTCATGGTCTTCTGGGCACTGGAACACCACTCCGCTCCGAGCTCCCCCGCCGCACCGAGCACCGGCCCGATCATCAATCCTAGGGCGATACTGCCTGGGGGCGAGGGCCGAACTCGGCGGTGCCAAGCAGCCACCCCGATCGCCACCCGTGTTGGTTTCCAACTTCCTGTGGAGACTTCACTGATGCGAGTGTCACTTCAGTGTCCCGCCACTCCTATGCAATGCCCGAGTCCTAGGAGTCCACCATCGGGGGAGAATCGCGGATCGCAGCTCGTTTAAATGGATGGAACGATCCTCGTATCCAACTGGCTACGTGAGGAAATGGACGCAACCTGTGGATGATGTATTACTATAACTTAACTGATTCTACAGTAACTATAACTACATGATCGCTTGACTCCGGGACTCCACTCCCTATGATCCATGCACTTCTATATAGGTGATGATCCACTTCGCTTCTTCTCAGCGGACGGAAGGATTCTTGCAGGGAACTAGATCTAATATGATCCCCTACAAGTCCAAGACCTCATTTTACTGAGGATGGTCATACAAAACCAATATATTAACGAGGTAGTCTCGACCAGGTTTGGACCTGGGTCAGACTGGACTGGTAGGGAGACCCAATGTAGACTCTTGATAGATTCAACCTCCCCCCGGCATCGATGGTAAAACCTTGTAAAACTTCATAAAACCTGCATTCGGGGGTGCGAGTCGGTCAAAGTCTACGAGTCGGTCGGAGGGTTCTTGACGGAATTGGTCGACTCAGTCCCTTCAGGACCTCGCTGGGTCTCTGAGTCGGTGGCTGAGTGGAGTGGGCGACTGATTCCAGGAGTGGAGTGGAATGCGCATTCCTCCCTCCCAAATCCCCTGTGAAGCGACGTGGAACCAGGTCTACAAGTGCCTTACTATAGTAGTAACAATAGATCAAGTTCACAGGTCGCCCAGGTTCCTGGTCTCCACTCCACGTCTTCCACCCTGTGAGCCCTCCAAGGAGCCGGAGCTATAGGCATAGCGCACCGGTCGGTCCTGCCGTCCCGGCCGGAGCCGCTCTGCCACCAATTCTGGGGAGCTGAACGGCCGAAGAAAATGGGTGGGGGGGGGGGGCAGTTTTCAGTGGCAAAGAGTTGGTGGGGTTGGAACTTATGAGAAGGTTGGAACAAAAATCACTCCCTTGGTTTCTTTGGGGAGCTGTCCCCCTTTCCTATCTTCCTGAGGTTCATCTTCTGGCGAGCCCTGCAGAACAGCAATTGGCACAGAAAGTCTGAGGAAGACCTACCAGATCTTCATCAAATCAGAATAGGTTCCTTTTCTTCCAGGGCGTCTTCCGCAACCCTGCCATGAAACACACCGGCGTCGTTCGTCGCCCATTTTCTCACCCCACGCAGATTCTCGGCCAAATCTGCCATCGCTTCCAGTCACCAGTCACCCTCACTGGGCGGTACGAAGGATCCGGTAGATGTAAAAAGCGGCGAAGACCATGTGCCCCACTTCCACGACCAGCGCCGCGGAGTCCTCCACCGGAGATCGGGCCACCCGAGTCGACCCGAGTCGGGGGGCGTTGGGCGCGACGTCCCGGTCTCTTCGGGAAAAGAAGATCAGAACGATTCGGCCCAATGAAGCTACGAGACTTCCATTAAAGAAAGAACCACAAGCGGTACATCGGATTTCTCCAGCCCTCCCCCCCACAGGGGTCAAGCTTGGAACGAAAGGTCCGGTGCTCAAAAGCAAAGGGTCAGAGTGTGGATGGTCTCGACCATCCCAGGAAGAGTTCGGACGGCTCCCCTCCTCAATCTCTCCTTTCTGCACATCTCCTCAGCTGCCAAATGCATCAAACCAAACACACACCATAACAACTGCAACACCTTTTACGGACTTTTGCACGGGAAATAAAACAATAGCTTCTTTATAAGATCTTTAGAGATTTGTCTAGATTCCCAACCTGCAGGAAAGGGATCCATTTGTTGACTTCCCGATGTTTGGGAGGAACAGGACACTCCGGTTGACTTGGTGGCTCTTCCAAGTAGAATTCGGCTCATGAGCCCACCACTTTCCAGAAAAGAACGCTTCCCTGCAGGTCGGAGAAACACCCACCCCACCCGCCGCTGTGTCGAACAGCACAGCGGATGGGCGGAAAGGGGAAGCGCCCGACCAACGCTCCGAGGCTCGGAACTCCGAGGCAGCCACTTCAGCGAAGAAGTAGATGCAACTACCGGCGATCGCCACCTGCATTCGTGGCAAAGCACATAAGGAGGAGGGGTTACTAGTTACTAAAAACAGGTCCACGAGCTGTGGGAACTATCATTCTATTCTAGAGAGAAGCAGACTTGAGATGCCCATGTAAAAGGATGAACAAGAAATAAAAGGAACGTCTTTTGCTCCAGTACTTAGGTGGTATCTCTAGGTGCACCATCCCAGTGAAATTCTGTGTCTTGATGCGTATCTTGAACATCTCACATGTCGGACCTAGGCCGTGGCTTTGTGGTGCTCGGCGGGTGTCTGGGTCGTCGCAGATGGGGTATGTTGGGCTTGTGTTGCGCTTTTGTTGGGCCTTTATTGAAGCATGGCATGGAGGTTTCCTCTGCGCTCTCCATGCTTCGCCAGATGTTCAAAAGGGAGATGTGCCAGGATGAGGGAGAAATATTTAAATGGAGGCCATTTACGAGTGCAGGACAATTCGACAAGCTGTTGGCAAATGTATTTTTCTGCTAAGGCTGGGAGGGAAAATTGCATATTGGTCGCACCAAACCTTTCCTGCCAAGAAGACAGAACACTTTGGTGCCATGCTTCCTAATTTCCCTGCTGTATACTAGACATGTCCAAAGCCCTGTCCAGTCATGTTCCAGTTTAGTAAGGGCGGCTGTTATGCCCATCTGCGCACACCATCCAGAAGGTCTACATCATAAAGGTGCGTGAAACATGACCCTGAAGAATCCCAATCACGGCTATTGTGGAATCTCTCTGCACCAGAAAACCTCTTTTATGCATCAGCGAACCCAATTCAGCTGTATACTGAACTGTGCAGCCTTGCAGGCACATGCATGATTGTATAGTATATACCCATTATATATTATATATTATATATTATATATGTATATAAATATATGTTGTTAGCCAATATAGATCTTGCATGATCTTACTAAATCATACAATGAAACAGATTCAAAAAGAGTCTTAAAAAAAAGGTGTATGAACATATATGAATATGTGATCATGTATGTAAGAATTTTATAATTGGTAATTAGTTGTTGCATAGGCCACGCTTTCAAAACAACTGATCCCTTGTGGCCGCGGTATCGAAATGTGTATCGGCGAGTGTGCGTGTGGTACTGTACCCTTCCAGGAACTTGAATTTCAAAAAAATAGTGCTCATGATGTTCATGATCTTCATCAAACCTCTTATATGATCTTATATGTCAGATTTCAAGATTTAATTGAAGTAGACCAACTTTGAACTCAGTAGGTACCTCCAATTCTTTTCGCTGCCGGCATGATACACTATACAAAAAAAGAAAAAACACACACACACCCAAGCGCCAGTGCTTCACTGACACAGTGAAGCACTGACGCACGAGACCGTGCGCCCCTCCAGCCCAATCCATGGCTTTCTCAGACCCAGGTGCACAGCCACAGTCCACACAGCGGCTCACGCAGCGAAAGTGCCGGCTACGTTCATCCTGCAAGCCCGGCCGCAGCAGGAACCTCGCTGGCCAGAAGCGATCCGTAATCCTCAGGCAGGAGGATGGTGGAGGATGGATGGTGGATGATGGCAGGTTTGCTTGGTTGGTGTGAGTGTGTTGCAGGATATTCTCGTATCTACTCTCTCCTTCCGCTGGGAGAGGGGAGGAACAACATGGGTGTGTTTCCTTCTGATGACTTGGTTTGTTGCGGTGACTCCGAGAAAGAATGTTTGAAACCATGCGGTGACTCCGAGCTTGCATTCACAGAATTTGATCGGCCCCCTACAGTACTTAGAGCAACCACCCATTCCAGAACCACTTTCTTGACGGTCACTGGAAAATCCTGGAGGGAAATCACCAACATTTTGCTAAATGTGTATGAAAAGATCATCCATACCAAGGGGTCAAGGTTTGAGAATATCAAATAATTACGGAAGAAACGTTTCAGAAAAAAAACAGGAGTTTCGGAAATTCAAACGTTGGAATTCACACCAAGCATCTGACTCTTGGCGAATTTGCTGCTCACCTGCTTTTTTCCGATGACCACTGAGCCCGTCTCTTGGAATCGGTGCGTTGTTTGGATGAGCTCCTGGCGCGTCAGACCGCGACTCGCGCTCTTCGACTGCAGACTCCGTTCGACTGCAGGGAGTGCTTGGAACTTGCATGCCGCCCGCTCCGTGGATGAAGTGTCTAGAGAAGGTATGGATAAAAAGATCATGAACCTTGATATGAAGTCAATCCCCCCCCACCCTCCCATGAAATGGGGCCGAGAATCCACTAAACCACCATAGCGTTTTGTGTTTCGGCTCCGATGTGACACACGAGAAGAAGGAACAGAAGGGCACGCGTCGACCACTGTTCACCACACGGGTTCCATCAGGTTCCCATGGAAGCGAACTGGCAGGTTCCAGCAGCGAAACCAAAAAGAGTCTCCCTCTCCCTGGAACGTCCACATGGTTACGTGGATGGCACCATCTGGTTTGGTCTGTGGATGGAAAATGGTCTTCCTTTCGGGGCCATTCTCCACTTCCATGTTACTTCCAGGGAGTGTAAAGCATGTGGAAAAGAAAAGCATGTCATGGCCGGTGCTTGCCGTCTGCGACTGCGGTCAGCGACTGTGGTCAGCGACTGTTTGTCCCCCGTGCTTTGGGAGGCAGTTATCAGCGTTTCATTCGTTGGGATGGGCGATGAACTTGAAAGCGATTTGTGTGTTTCTTTCCAGCCACGGCTTGAAAGCGGCGCTGAACCATGGGTCTCACTTCTTTCGGAGCTTTTCCATCAGCGGTATCCAGCTGAAAGGAATGATGTGTACATCTATATAGTTATATTTAATACTACACTCTTGATGATCAAATGTTTTAACCCCCTAAATCCCCCCCGCCACCGGGAGTGGAGTCGTCCTGGTATATCTGGTCCGTCTGCTCTGCGGAATTGCAGTGCGGCAGCTCTAGGCTCTTACAGATGGGCCGAAGATTCTCTTCTCGAAGGATAATCAAGCCACCGAGGCGTTCCTGACTGGCAGTTTCCATGGAGTTTTTGTTGGGAGGAGCTCACGAAGGGAAGAGTTCTGGGGGTGCCCCTATACTCACATCCACTGGCTACACTCGGGTCTAAAGACCACCCAACTCCAACTCTTGGTAGGTTCTGATGAAAACGCACAGCACGCTTAACGGATTCACCTCTTCATCACTAGGAAGGAAAGCGACGTTCACCAATCCTCAAAGAAGGCTCTCGTTCGCTTCGACACCATCCCCAATCGGACCCTGTGGGACATCTGCAGAACATCTGCGCAACGACTTCCCAGCACAGTGCCATGTTTGCCCACATTGGGTGAGTTGAGGGGGCAATGTAGGCATACAGCCATACATGGAGTGCCTAGGTAAGTGGGTCATCCGTCTTGCTTCCCACATCCATGACGTCATTGCAGTGCGTGTCTTACATGTAGACCTCCACCATCTTCCACCACATCACCGTGGTGGGGAGGTCAAGCAGTTCTCAAATAAGGGACCCCAGCCCTGCCCCAAAAGGCGAGCCTGACTCGTGGTCAACTACAAGTGGTTAGGACGGAACTGTTTGGTGGACTGGATCGTTGAAGGGAAACGTTCGGATACTCGACTCCATGAGACACCGGCTCGCTCGCCAGGTGGTTACGACAGACTCCACACCTGGCGAAACCCCAATGAGGACAGGTCCTGTGGATCGAAAAGAGAGTCAGGAGATCACGCGGCTAGTCGACGCGGTGTGGATCTTCGTTGATTCTGATTACGAATTCTTCTCCTTTTTCACGAATCTATGGATTTGGCTGGGAATCAACACCCAGGGATCTAACCGCTTGGACCTTTCCCGAGGAAGAGGCCCAGCTGGGAAGAGGTGCGCTTGCTCGCTTGTCCCCAGCAATGCATTTGTGTTCATAAGGCACTAAGGTACATGAGTTGTTGGAGTTTTGGAGTGGAGATCAAAGGTCTTGTGCTTCGGGCTTAGCACCCAAAAAGAATGATGCCAGCATAGGCCCCAAACAGTTTCATCCTTATTATTTGGTGTCAAATCCTCGAAGTCCAATTGTAACGTCTGTGATGTTTTATTCCTATAGCTTCCAAGCTGTTTGGGAATGGCATTGTTTGAAAACACGAGTTCCTCATTCCTGCAAAAACGAAATATGTCATGAGAAAATCCAAGGATGATATCAAACATGAAATTTGAAACGCTGCACCGCTGTTGCATTCATAAGTCACGCGAAAATATACCCGGACAAGGCGGTTCAGTGGACAACGTTCGCGAGCGCGGCCAGAGGACAAGACAGGACAAGACAGGACAAGACAGGACAAGACAGGAGGACAAGAGAAGGCATAGGCTTCGCCAGCAACGCCAGAGGACCTGGAGGGCACAGGGCACACGCCAGCGCAGCAGGATAGCAGGAGGACACAACAGTGACAACAGGGGGCGCGGCCAGAGACTGCGGCCTCCCGTGCTGTTTTGTCCTAAAAAGAGAGGACCCGCAACAGGCCCCAAACAGTTTGAGGGAAAAAAGCCATCCAAACTCCTCGGCATCCCAACGGCATCAAGCTTCATCCTTCACCTGCGCCTCCTGATCCGTGTTCTCCGTATAGATATACCGGCTTAAAGGAACCAACGCATAGCCCGGCTCATGCGTGAAGTAGATCGATAGAATGAAGGTTGTGATGGGAATCACCAAATATACCTGGGATGAGTCAAAGACTAAGACTGTCAGGAATGGTCTGAAAGCTTCGTTTACTATATAAGCAAGCTGTTTCAGTCTATCAGACTATCAGACTATATAAGGGGGATCTGAAACACAGCTTCGTTTAGACTTTGGCTGGTCAAAATACCGTCGACTTGGACGGACTGGACTTCGATCTGGAATCTACTGAACGAGACTTGGAGTCCGGGTACGGGATCCAAGAGGAAGACAGACATCAATCAGACTAGGATTTGGTCCAATTCATAGGGGTCTCCCGACCCACCGGCTCCAGACATTCTCGTTCGCTTCGGCAAAAAAAACCATCCATTGGTTGGGGGAGTCTCCCCATTACACACCCGGTCTCATCGTTCGCTTCCCTGGAAGCGAAAGCGGCTTCCCGGACGAACGAGGAAAGCGGCGAAGCGGTCCGGTCAATTCGACGGTGACCGATGAGCCGAGTTCCGAGGCCAGGGTGCAAACCACTGCTTGGTGCCATGAAGCATGTCAGGCTCCATATAATTCACATAGTCTTTTTCAACACCAGGAGGGAGAGGTACCAAGGCTTCCATCACAAAATTCGAGGCTCCCTGTACGAAGCACAAGGTGAGAACCTGCAGGAAGTATCATGCATCGAGGGACGACAAGGATGGGGAAACACTCTCCCATTTTTCCGGGAGACATTGTCATAAGATGATGTCCTTTCTACAATAAATTTGGTGTGGTGCCAAAGATCGTTTGAGGTTGTTCAAACATGACGAGAAATCACCTGGCTGCCTGGTTGGGACCAACGAGCAATGTAAAGACTGTCATGTTCTGAGGGACAAGATAATCAGCATTATGATCCCACAAGTTACAAGGCCTTTTCCCGGCACCAGCATGATTCCAACATAAACATCAGTCTCCCATGGGGTGAACATGGACAATAACATGTATTGCAGTGGGACTGTGCCCGAATATGCCTCAATAGGAAAGGGGTCAGGCAAAACAAACGCAAGTAAGACACCAATGTTCCACGTTTGCCTGCTACTAGTTGCTCTCGCTCCTTGTGGATGATGGACAGGCTAGATCCTTCATTGCACCCTGACACACCCACATGGCTGGGGCATTAAACAGGCAGAACGTGACAGAACCCGAAGTCTCGAGGTCTCTGTTTCCGTACTTCTTTTCCTTCCAGCCAAAGCCACATAGAAGATGGGCTCCTGAGTAACCTTGTACTCCTTGAAGGTCAGCAATGCGCCGCGCCGCAACAGCTCGTAGTACATCCGTTGGATCAAGATCATGCTACGCACCAGACCTCGTCCGCCGCGGAAGAACCCGCTGATTCGCTGCTGAAACGGGCGTCTCAAACGGGGTTCATGTCAGCGTCCCCCACCTTCAGCGAGAAATGCTCTTGCCAAGGCCCCTGAGGGTTGTGACTCTCTCCAAGTTCCACCACAGGCACCTGGAAACCACGCAGTCTGACATCATTCCTTCCCGGAGTAGCTACTTGAACCATCCAAGGGGTCCAGAGGAAGCCCTGGGTCTCGGACCAGCGATCCTCATGCTGGCAAATCGGCATCTGGTTTTCGGGACCGGGACTCCGCAAAAAGGTGATCGATCTTGAGAGGATCCGACCAAAAGCCGCCAGGTTTCAGCTCAGTGAAATCTCTCTTTCAGGACGGCTCTTTCCATTGCTCAAACCACTGAGGTGTTCATGGGTTCCCCTGCGAAGCCACGCGTAGCCACTACTAACGCGTAAACGCGGGCGGTCCTCACACGTACCGTACGCACCCGCCATCCGGACCACTCCCTGTTCGGACGGACGCGAGGTCGAGGAGAAGAAGGTCCAAGGGGCTCATGGAGATCAAGATCGCCACCAAGGGGAAGAAACGCGTGTAGGCTTTGGTGTACTCACAGGTCCAGAGCTGCCACCTGCTCCGAGCCGTCGCTTTGGGGATCGGCTTTGTTCGAAAACGACCGCGGACGAAAAACGACCCGGGAGTATAGAGCTACGACCCGTAGAGTGTGTGACTATAGGAAGTTGTAGGAAGAAACACTGACCGGGTGATCAAGAAAAAGGGGGAGGTGGATCAGGTGGATGGAAGTTTGACGGGATTCTGGATCCTGCCACCTAGCTCAGAAAGACCTCGGAGGGTCAGTGTGATCAAATGATCGAAGTTGCATGGAAACAGCCACTCAGAGCCGCCCCTGTGCAGTGCAACCCAACATATGGGTGTAGCTCATTTCTATAGGAGACCTCCCACGCAAAGACCATCTGGAAGGTTCGAGACCTTAGACCAGTCTACCCAGCCAGGGCCAGGGGCCAGCGGGGCACACCCCTACTGTGGCCGTGAGTACTCGCCCCTACTGGAACTCGTCACACGACATACGCGCTTCACAACCCCCGGCTTTGGACGCTTGAGTGAGGACCCCTCAAGCGTCCGGTGCCAGCGTGGCACACGGACCGAAGCGCCTAAGGCGTGAACATCTGTGATAAGAGTCCCGGTCCAGAGGGGGTGCCACGAAACGTACCGAAACGTACCGAAAACGACGAGACGAACGTCCAAGGGCAACGGCTTGTCATCCAGTGTGAGCCGGATGTCAGTACTTTCCGCGTCTCTTCGTGGTACATGTGTTCCGACCACAGCCGACCCTCGGAAGATGCATCCAAGTGTTAGAGTTCCTGGAAATACACGCAAAATGCTGCACACAACGCTGCGACGAGCGGCGTCTCGAGCTTGCCATGCCAGCAAACCATGATGAACTTCCGCCTGGCTGAAGGCGTGCTGCAGTGCCCAGTCTTGCTCTCATACCCAACATACGGCCAGTCTCAGGGGGAACCCTTGGATAAAAATCAAAAAAGGTCGAACCCTCAAATATGTGAGCTATGTGAGCTATGTGTGTGCATGTGTGCAACGAAGCCTTCACCCGAAATCATCCACCCTCGCGCGAGAGCATCCCGTCACCGGACACCGGCGCACGGGTGGCACATCGAGACTGACTGTTTCCCCGAGGAAGTGAACCTTCTAAAATCTTCTAAACAACCAAAACACAAAAGCAGCCTTGTTGGGAGATCTGTTGAAAGAAAAAACCGAACGAATCAGGCGATGTCCAGAAATCTTCCAGAAGGTCCACAAGCGGTGTTTGCTTGGTTATTTTCAGGTTTAGAAGGAAAACTCCCACAAGCCACTGGTGGTTCGCAAACGTTTTTTGGATGTGTTTCCTGTACATGTATTGTTGATCCACTCTGGAAGGAAAGGCTCACAACACCGCGATTCTTCTCGGACCAGCGCCAGGTTCTTATGCCATCAACCAGTGTTGACCAACACTTGGGCCCACCGGCTATCTCGTTTGGAGCCGGGGGAGTGCATCGTTTCATCGTTTCAGGCTGATACTCACATCATCTCACATCGCACATGACATGTTAACTGGTCTGCCTGATCTGCATGATGCTTCTTTGAGGGTGTTAGTACCCAGGTCGCCCGGTCCGCCCTCCTTTTCCAACCCAGAGTGTGCTGCTTCCGACCGGCTTTGCGGCTTTGCCGCCCAGCCTGAATAGAACTTGGTAAGCCACAAAAATCATGGAGACGATTTGATAGCCGACGACGCCCAGGGCATTCAGCACTAGCATCCAGGGGGCAGCATACTCCTTCTCCCACACCGCTTCGCCGGAGCACCTCCGACAGCATGTCTCGGACAGACGCTGAGAGACTGCAGGGTGATGAGAGACCGGAGGATGAACGGTTTCTTCCCCCTCAGAATCCGGACTCAAATGGAAAGGGCTTTCAGGATCAGGACCGAAGACCGTTGTGCAGGGTGGACCGTTTTCCGTTTCTTGTCCACGGGTGTCAGGTGGCGAGAGAGGAGGTGGACAGAACTGGACCGCGAGGTGAAGGTGTTGTGGTCGAGGTGTTGTGAAGACATCCACTGCAGGAATATCTTCAAGGTAGACTCTGAATTCATGTTAAAAAGTGACGAAAGAAAGTGTTTACCCCAGATTGGCTCAGCACTGGATCTTGGTGCTCTTGTGTCGTACTGTTGACTGTATCGATACACTCTTGCTCTTCCTTTTTTCAAAGCTGGATTCGGAACGCCACGACGACGATCGGTCTCCACATCTAGCATTGCACCTCCTGCATCCCCCGGTCTTCCCAATAGATAAAGCAGAACTTCCATTTTGAACCATTTTACCCAACCTGGTAGTCATGACCCACCACTTGTAAGGGGGTCACATGAGTCCTGACTGGACTTGTTTCTCACGCGCTCAAACCACGCTGGAAGACCTTGGAATCGAACCATACTCTGCTGCGGATGGCTGCTGATCTCCCCGTGACAGTGGTGTAGACAACGACGGAGCGTCCACATGAGACATGAGACAATGCGCCGATTGGCCTGGACATTTTGGATCTTGAGCCAGGAGTGCCAAGACAGGCAAAGAAGTCTCCAATGTCTGAGCAAAGAAAGCAAGGCTGTCTGGGTGAAGATATCAGTCTGACCCCCTTTTTCGGCTACCAGCTCACCGCCAACCACAATTACTGGCTCACAATCCCTCAAGCCACCCACAGAAGGAAAGCCACACAGTTCATACCCAAAAGAATCAAAAAGCTGAAAAGAATCCCCTGCTCTGTTCATCCAAAACGTACTAAACCCAAAAAAGTACACCTGATGGGCACTGGGGCCTTGTGGGACTTAAGCTGCATCTTGGGTGCTTTCACCATCTTTCACCACCTTTCCAAAAGGCCTGCCCGCTCACGCCAACGGCACCACAAAACTGCTCGCTCTTGGTCACCCGCGCGCGTCCTCTTCTGAGGAGACTTGAGCGATGTAAGCATTGCACACACCTGGTCCACGGCCATCGAGCACGACACGTGGCCACGAGTGACGTGGCCACGAGGCCACGAGTGACGTGGACACACAGGACTGACAGCTTCTGCTTCTGCGACCTGTGACTGACTTCCTTGCATGAGGATGGCGGTCCAATTCGAGCATTCTGGATTTGGATCTAAGGTGTGTACCAAATGTCCTACTTGGTGGTTTCAAGCCGCCCTGGAATATGTTTCATGGGACTTCGTCATCACAGCTTAAAGATCGAACATTAACAAAACATCCTGTTCAAACCACCAAGCAAACCAAGCACCACCAAGCACCCTGATCACTTGATTTCCCAATTTCATCCCCCAGGGCGAATGGAACTTCGACAGAAGTCCACTCCCCACTCCCCAGCCCTCTCTTGGAAGACTGACTTGCAAGTCATTTAACGCCCAGAAGCGTTGAAAACGCCACCAGAAACCTCCGTGGTCGGTGAAACATCGCGATTGAGCAATTCAGAACTGCGGTGTGCATTGCAATACCCTCTCTCATGCGCTATTCACACTCGGCCCCGGTGCCCGACTCCCACCACGCAAAACACTCGAACAGCGCCAGGGAGCCAATGGTGGCACAAAAGGCGCCGGCGAAGATGTAACCCACCAGCAGACACGTGAAGCTCTCAGCGACGCTCAAGATCAAATACGACTCGGCCGCGGACACCGCCGTGGGGTTTCGGCGCCGGTTCGTGTGGTTTCCCCCGAACACCGACGGGTCCGTGCGTGGCCAAGGGCCAAGGGCAGGGGCCCGTGAACCGAAGCGCCGAAGGTCACCGAAGTCTTTACGAAGAACACAGAAGGCACCGGGAATCAGAGGCAAAAGGGTTCCAAAGAGTGGTGGATCTGCCGGCTACTCTCTTTACTGCCGGCGACTCTCTTTTCTGACTCCCTCCAAATGAAAAATTAAGGTTACTGTACCTGTTCTTGTTGAGTAGGGAAACCAATTACATCAAGTTCTCCAAAATGGTTAGAGGTTGTCCACTGTTCCTGCAGCGGATATCGGTTTTCCTTCGATGCACCGGGCATCCAGGCGGCGCTGAGACCCACCAGTTCACCAGACTCGTGTATTAATCAAGAGTATCTGAAACCACCACCCAGTTTGGATGTCCAAGACCCACCATGTTTTACAGAGCCGATCCTCGCGATCAAAGTACATGACGGACAGCAACTATCCATTTCGGTGATTGGATGGAAAGTGACAGGGTCATCGGGGTCGAACACCTCCCGACTTGGGGTGGACCACCCGAGCCCTCTTGGTGACCGCTATGTCGGACCACCCACCAACCCAAAAAATGTTCCCAACTTCCTCTCAAAACAGGGGCCATGTCTGGGTTCTAGGAACACACCACATCCTACCAACCCCCTTTTCTGAAGTCGTCCGGGTCCCGCTACTACGCCGTCCGACGGTCGCGTCCCCAGGGGCCAAAGACTCAGCTGCTAGGGCCACCAGCAGCACCTCGCAGGGGCGCTGCCCGGGACCGGAACGGGAGTATATACTTTTTTTGTCGGTGTCCGGTGGCCGGTCCGGTGGCCGGTGGCCGGTGCCGGTGGCCGGTGCCGGTGGCCGGTGGCCGGTGGCCGGTGCCGGTGGCCGGTGCCGGTGGCCGGTGCCGGTGACCGGTGGCCGGTGGCCGGTCCGGTAGCCGGTGGCCGGTGGCCGGTGGCCGGTGGCCAGTGACCGGTGGCCGGTGGCCGGTCCGGTAGCCGGTGGCCGGTCCGGTGGCAGGTGGCCGGGCCGGTGGCCGGTGCGGTATAGCCGGCGCCGGTGTCGGTGGCCCGTTTAACCCCCCCTCTAGCGTAGGTCCATTTCCATGCTCGGACTCAGACCTCCTGGAATTTCTAACTTGACTGAACACCAGCTGCAACACAGCCACATCCACCTGACGCCTGCAAGATTGACACGTCTACTTGATGCTAAAATATCGATGTCAAAACACCATGAGACGCCTTGCGGCTGCCTAGGCCTTTTTTTCGGACTGACCCAGGTCCATGGCTGGTGCTCT